AGAGTGTTATCACTTGCGTGATTATAGAGGGAAATGCAGACATCCAAGGGGAGTAATGAAATTATTCAACTATAGGCATTCATTACTACGTAATGTTATTGAAAGATGCTTCAGAGTGCTTAAGGCTCGCTAACCTATTCTGAAGTTAGTGCCAAATTATCCAATCAGGAAACAAAGATGTATTCTTGTTGGTTGTTGTACCGTGCATAACTTCATTAGAATGCAATCAAGAAATGACATCATATTTCATCAATGTCAAGCCAATGATCTTCAAGTGGTAGATGAATAAAGCTCTAAAGTGGATCAAGAACACATCCATTTGCATGAGGACAATGCTAATGAAATGAGTGATGCTAGTGATCACATAGCCGGAGCAATGTGGATGGATTATATTCAGAATCATTAGTCTTATAATTTATTTAGTCTAGAATGTTTTAATTTAATATGTATTATTTAAGACTTGAAGACCAATTAAGCTTGTCGATCATATATGTATGGTATTTAAACATGGATGTTAAATAGTATGTTTAATATAATTTTGATAATGTTTATCAAAATATCTTAATTATAAAAAATGAAGAAAAAAAATTGTATTCAAGAATTCAACCAAACAAGTTTTCAAATTTTAAAGATTCAAAAACAGTTTTCAAGTTACATACCAAACAACTTTTTGAATCTTAAAATATGGATTCGAGAACTCCTTATTTTTAAGAAAAATAATAGTTTTTGAGTTCCCTACTTGAATAGGATACTAAACAGGCCCTAAGATTTTCCTTCGTTTCAATTTTGACACTAGCTCCCGTATTTCTAACCCAACCCTCTTTTTGATAGCTCTCATGCCTCTATTCCATCTATTCAACACAAGATGCCAAGCATATCTTAAATATATATAAATTTGATTATCTCTAATTCGTGACTAAATCAATTTAGGGTTTAAAGGTTGTGGTTATGAATTAGTGACCTCCCAACATGTATATGAATCATATGTTTTACATATATTGAATATTTATTTGTCATAATTGAATGTTCAAAAGGCTTACGCCTTGAGAGACATAAAATGCCTATTTTCAACGCCTTGCCTTTCGAAAAATTGGTATCTATGCATGCCAAAAATACTTCTTCTAAATCAGAACATGTAATTCATCTGCCAAAATATCTTTCCTTAAGTATGATTTTATCACTGTCTTCTTCATGTTCTATTTTAGACTCCTCCCCAAAGCAGAGCCCTGTAATCAAACAGAAGTCCTAATGAGTAAACTGAGCAATGTCGCACCATATCAAGAAACTCAATTCATCCAAGTCTTTCACACCAAGCCTGGCGACTCGATGCAAGGCCATCTCTTTGTTTGCTAAACTGAATTTTATCAATATTTGCCAGATGACCAAAGCATAAGTTTTTGAATTGCTCTAACTATTCTTTGGTCAATTTCGATGGAATTGCAGTTAGGCATGAATTTGCATGTGAGCAGTTATTCACCCGTGCAACATATGCCTTATGATTCTAGTCAGACTACCTCCACATTGGATCCCATTTCCTGAAAGAATTCTTACACAAATACAACTTCATTATTTATTTAACACATCATTCATTCAGCTAACTACACTTAATTTGAACATAATACTTTTGTACAAGTATTAATAAATTCAAATGCACAACACATAAGTTATTATACACACAGAGAAATTAAAATTTAATTTAAGCTTAACCCCACTCGATAGTAATATCACAAAATTTTCACAATCCATTTTCAAGACTTTTCTGTACTTCAAATTTTATTTTCTACCAATTCATTCACAATTTATTCCTTGTCAATACAAAGTGTGCAATTACTAACTCATTATTGACATGATGTTCATTTCAATCATATGGGTTATATTTCACTTTTTTTACTTTTGTTATCATCATTATACTACAAAACGCCAAATCCTACCCCACTAATAGCAAATTTATTACAAAAACCCTAATTTTATCAAAACTGAAATTACACTTAATTACTTACATATTACCAAATGCTTATTGAAAATGCAACTTAGGGTTTTCTTAAATGTAACAATCGAACATTCGCACTTACCACTTCCGAAATAGACGATTCGCTTTCACCACTTCGTTGTAACCTTTGCTCTTGCAATACGGCTTCGTCTTTTTCACTCAAACTATTTAACTGATTTTACTAGTAATGTATGGAGTTGCCTTTCGACCTTCGTGAATTCGCACAACTAGTCGGATTCCAAAACACAGCTTTCGAATTGGTGGTTTCTTGGCGCTTTTCAACGATTCTGTGTTCAAATTTTGGTGGGTTCCTTTTTCATATTTAGGGGTTTCAAATTTGGATTTTTTTTTACCTGTTCTTGTGTGCAACCTTTTTAAACCCACGTTTTAATCTCAGTTCAAATGGCCACAATTGTTGTCGGCAACTAAGCTATCCTTTTTTTTTTTGCTTCAATGAAGTTTTAGCTGTGGTGTTAGTTTAGAAGTTGCACGCATTGTGTTCGATGTTTTTACAGCGAATCTTTTTGTAGTGGGTGAGGCCCATATTGGTCTCTTTCTAACTTCTGTTTGGTTATGAGGTAGGTCCCACAATTGCCACGTCAACATTTAACGTCTGACTTTGACGGTCAATGTAACGGCGGGTGTAAATTGGTAATACTTTGAAATGTCGGGTATGAAATTGATTGAATAAGTGTAGTTAATCCTTATTTTTAACATGTACGTAATTTTTTATTTTTTATTTGTCCACGTGGAATCCCACGTCAATTAAAAAATAGGTCCTACAAATACCACATCAGCATTTAATAGATTAACTAACGGTTTGGCTAATGGAGGGGGCAAATTGTAGGGTTTCCGTGAGGTTGAGTATGTACTGGTAAATGTTCCTAAAATCAGGTATAAACTTGAAAATGACCCTATAGGTTGGGAGGTTTTATGTAGTTTGTCCTACAATATATATATATATTACGCATGTGCCAATTGGTTTTTTATTATTATTATTATATTTTAGTATTAAAAAAAGATAACATGGGTAGTTATTATCTGATTTCGTTTTTAATTTTAATTTTTTTAATATAAAAAAAAGTGAATTTATCATATTATCCTCATTTAATTAATAATTTCAATTCTTAATTTTTTAATTAACCAAGAGCATTTTCTGGTATTTTGAATGTTTCACCATTCTCTGTCTTTTGCTCTATATAAGTCCATGTGTTAATATATTAATTTAGAAAAGAAAAAAAAAAAAAGGTAAGTAGAATAAAGCTACAGCCGGTTGGATTTAGAAAGGCAAGAAAGATATTAATTCTTCTTGCCTTAAGTTTATTACAATAAAAGTAAGAAATAAAAAAACAGAAACTTGCGTTTATTTTTTTTTCAAAACACTCCAAGTGAAACGACGTCGTTTCATTTAGAATTTTTTTTTTTTTAAACACTGCAATCGAAACGACGTCGTTTCATAACAATAAACCTAAAAAACAAACACGCGAGTCGTCTTCCTCGCAGAGTCGCAGCCAATTTGCAGACTCGCAAAATTTCTTCCGGTTCAGAAGTCATTATCTTTTATGTAAATGATGTTTGGTGGATTATCAACTAAGCTGTTGAACATATGCATAGCTTCATTTTGTAAAGTCCGGCTACTGGAGAAAGCAGAAGCCATTATAATCGACGGTGTAAGATTAGGGGTGATTCCAGATGTGGTAACTTACAATACTCTGGTTAGTGCATATTCTCGTTATGTTAGCTTAGATTCAGCTTATTCTGTTATTCATAGAATGAAAGAAGCTGGGATAAGTCCAAATGTCATTACTTACAATTCTTTGATTGCTGGGGCGACCAGGGATTGTTTATTATCACAATCCCTGGATTTGTTTGAGGAAATGCTTCAAGCAGGTATACATCCTGATGTATGGAGTTACAATATTCTGATGAATTGTTTCTTTAAATTTGGAAAACCCGATGAAGCCAACAGAATATTTCAGGATATTTTACTTAGCAATCTCGCTTCTCACCCAGCTACCTTTAACATAATGATTAATGGCCTTTGTACAAATGAATACATCGATAATGCCCTTATGTTATTTAGAAATTTGCAGCGTCATGGATTTGTTCCCCAGCTAGTGACATACAATATTCTTATCAATCGGCTATGCAAGGCACGCAGATGGCGGCAAGCAAGGACAATACTAAGGGAACTTGGGGAATCAGATCTTGAGCCAAATGCCATAACCTACACTACAGTTATGAAATGCTGCTTTAGGTCTAAGCAGTATGACAAGGGGCTTGATATTATGTCGGAGATGAAGAGTAAAGGGTATGCTTTTGATAGTTTTGCATACTGCACAGTCGTTGCTGCTTTAGTTAAGACTGGGAGGATAGAAGAGGCAAATGCTTGCATGGAACAGACAATGAGTAATGGTATTGAACTCGATTTAGCAGCTTATAACACCTTACTTAATATGTATTGTAGACAAGGTAAGTTTGAAGCTGCCTATAAGTTGTTGGATGAAATAGAGAAGGGAGGTCTGCTGTGTGACAAGTATACCCACACAATTATAATTGATGGCTTGTGTAAAGCTGGTAATTTTAGCGGGGCTCAACACCATTTACATTATATGAAAATGATGGGTTTCCATGAAAACTTGGTTGCCCTCAACTGCATGATTGATGGGTTGTGTAAAGCTGGTCATATTGATCGTGCAATGGAATTGTACAAATCAATGGAGACTAAAGACTCTGTTACCTACACCTCCTTGGTGCACAATCTTTGCAGGGCTGGAAGGTTCCGTTGTGCATCCAAGCTTATGATGAAATGTTTAAAAGATGGCAAGAAAATACTCAGGGCTACCAAACGAGCTGTGCTTCGTGGTCTTCGTAGTTCAGGTTATACAGATGAAGCAAAGAAGCTTCAGTGGAAAATTCAACTGGCTCGAATATTACGTTAGAAACCAGCTATGCTTTTGCTACTGAATAATTCAACTGCCCTATTTAGATTGGCATTTTGGATGTCACCATGCGAAAGCCTCCGCCTTAGTCATATTCTGTAAACATCAGTTGTTTAGGGCTGGTAACTTGCTCTACAAAGCACAGAATAGTAATAGTGAAGAGTAATGGTGAATCTGAATTGGAGGTGAGTAACTACCCTGCAACTGCCTTGCATTGCTAATCTGACAGTGGTTCTGCCGGTGTCTACGAGGGAAAGACACTACTCTAGTAAACAAATAGTTGCTATGTTCATGCATGACCGGACAAGTCCAGAAACATTTTCTCAAAGCCAGTTGTTAGTCACGCTGCTTTCTTCATTTCAGGGGTTCACTGTGAGTTTCCGTTCTTATTCCAACTGGTTTAATAATTTCCCTTATTTTTGGTGATAGCTTCGATAGATTTCCTTTGACTTTTGAAATGAACTATGCTCTTCGGAAGCTACTGAAAGACCACCTGCACTATGTTTTTTCCTTCTTTTTTCATATTTTGGAAACACATTTTGAAATATGTATTACTTTTGGCAGGGTAACTGGTTAGCATTACTGGGAGCAGTTTGAATATAACTCAGGATAACTACTCCTGAAAGGTAAACTTGTGTATTGCAGCCTGCTTTTTCATGTGAGTAACTTTGACATGAAATTTTGATAAATTGATATCTTAAAGACATCTCATGGTTACACGAGAGAGAAATACGATAGCTATGATTCCCAAAAAGTGGAAAAACGATGGTTAACTATACTTCCTAAAATTGTATGGATTGCAAACTGTTGCATGTTTTAATAAGAAAACAATTCTGAGGAAATCCTTGATTCTCTTTGTGTTTATTGTTCTGTTTCTATGATGTTTTGACAATTCCTCTGGGGCGAGATCTGAGAGATAATATTTTTAAATAATAAAGCAAATTAGTTCCAACATTTTACCAACAAATGTTCATTGTTTACTTTACTTATATTTTTTTTCCTACATGTTTCATCTGTACCAGACTATCTTTTGTCAACTTCTTAAATTGTGCTGATAGAGAAATAATAATTCCAAATATTTGATTTTGTTCTTGTCATATTAAAGACATTTTATGTTTTGAGGGATTTCATTCAGTTATTGTGCACCCTGGGCAGGAGCATTGACATTTTATGCTTGTTTTTCAATGTGATGGTATTCTTATTGGTTGAATCATTAAGCTCTGATTTGTAATAAGAACATATGGAGTTTCAATGGCCGTATATGGTTTGTGATTGGCTAAATTTTCAACCTCCTTTAGATAACATAAAACTAAGCTGTCATATGCATGACTTTTTATTAATACTTCATTCAATTTAGGAGAAAAAGAAAAGAAACTAGAGATGGGGTTTCTCAGAACGAGTTTGATGTGAGGCTGCAACCATTTTCTCCACTGTGACCCCAGCATTGCATATGTTGGCAATAGCTCGTGTGTATTTCCTTCCATATGTTGATAAGGTCTACACTGCTATGATGGTGAATTTACATCTCAGACTTTTGATGATTACTGCATGTCGTTAGGCATTGACATTGAGCATCCTGTTCTCCATGTTCATACTCAAAATGACTTGGCAGAAGCTTTGATTAAGCGTCTTCAATTGATAGCACGCACATTGCTAATGAGAACAAAGTTGCCAGTTTCTGCTTGGGGATATGCCATTTTACATGCAGCATCTCTGGTGCGGTTGAGGCCCGTCGCCAACAATCAATATTCTCCAATACAGCTTGTGTTGGGTAATCAACCAAATGTTTCACATTTAAGAGTCTTTGGTTGTGCGGTTTATGTGCCTATTGCACCACCGCAACGTACTAAGATGGGCCCTCAACGCAGATTGGGAATTTATGTTGGCTTTGATTCACCATCTATCATCAGATATCTGGAGCCCTTGACTGGTGATATCTTTAGGGCACGATTCGTGGATTGTCATTTTGATGAGACAATTTTTCCATTATTAGGGGGAGAAAAATCTGTTCTTAAAGAACAAGGCAAACTCGTTCATGAAGAACGACGTGAATTATCATGGGATGTACCCACTTTGCTTCATCTCGATCCTCGTACCGCTCAATGCGAAAACGAAGTGAGAAGGATCGTTCACCTCCAAAGCATTGCGAATCAGATGCCAGATGCATTTAATGATGCAACGAAAGTGATGAAATCACATATCCCAG